GTTTTCCCAATGCATGAGGATTGTGGTTTGGTTTTTAGCCTTCTAAGAACAACCTTTCATGTAATAATGTAGACATGGAGTATTAAAGAAAGAATAACAGTGGTTACAAAAACTTCATGACTCAACAGTCCATATGAATAACAACCCTGCCCAGACCACGCCAGGCTGCTGTGGGCTGCTAACTTGGTGGTGGTGGAAAAAATGCATGTGTGGCACATAATAATCTGCAATGAGTCATACGTTTGACTGACATAGAAGATGATTTTTCCGCACTAAGTGTACGAAAATGTAATAAATAGACAAAAGCTGTGAACATCTGTGAAATGTATGTGTTTGCAAAAGGCTGTGTGCATCTGTGGATGAAGCAGCCATATGTCAATCTACAAAATACCAAATGGTTATGGAGCCCAAGAGACAGCATATGTGCTCTCCTTCTCCACTCTGCTCTGTATCTGTGTGTTCCTGCAGTACAGAATCGCCTCCATATAAAGCCTAATAGGGAAAAACCCGGCAACCTAGTTCTGTTTATTACCCCTAATTAACCGAAAGAGCAATAATTAACTACCTTTAGTTTTTGTTCGATTTTTTTTTTTAGCTATATTTAGTTTGTTATACAGGCTGTAATTTAATGACAAATAAACGACTCGTTTAGAGTACGCATTCTACACCCGCTGTGTAATGCAAACTGAATAATTAAATGCAACTTAAAGGGCGTTTTCTCAGAGTTTAAAGATAAATCGGGAAAAAAAATAGTCGCTGTGACGGTTGCTGAAGATGTGGATAGCTCCAGATCTGCATGACACTCATGAGGTCCACACCCATCCATCCATTGCAGTCATTGTTTCCATTTCTTCCCCCGTTTAAAGAAAAAAGAAAGAAAGATCGAAGAGAAAGCCGTAAAACAAACTGTTCTTACCGTATTTGGGGTCCGGGTTTTTCTCCTCCATCTCCATTCTCACGCACTGCTGCTTGCTGCTGATCAGACCTAACCCAGGACAGTTTCCATGGAAATGTCGAGGCAAAAAAACATCAATAACAATGACCGACTGCAACAGCCACACAGCAGACTGAAGACGGAGACCACCCCAAGCCAAACTGGAGCAAAGCGCATTCCAGTCTAACGGAAAGGAGAGCCAGCCAATGAGAGACCGGGGCCTGCTGACCGACAGCTGCTGCAGCCACTCAGGATTACCCTGACGAGGACAAAGGCTGTGCAATGGAATGTGTAGAATTTAAAGACCAATGTGCTTTTAAAGAACATAACGCATTCAGAAAGATTATTGTTTCGCAATTATAGCATAATACGGTAATTATTTTAAGTTATTTATTTTGTCTAAACATCATTACGTCGTTTGCTGAGAATCGAAGAGAACTACTTCCCAAAGAAGACGCATACAAAGAGCACGGTGATGAAAAATACATTTTTGTCAAATTTACCTCAAATTAATGAAACTTTCCGCCCCATAAAAATGAAATTTTATTGGCAATCTTCTCTTCAAAAGAAAAAGTATCAACTGGGAGGCTGCCACCGACAGAAAATCCAAATTTGTCAATACAGCCGCCTCAGTCTCTGTGTTTACAAGTAAACGTGGCTTAAATGTGCAAATCTCTGAGGCTCTATGAAGAGAAAATTCTCTTTAACCTATGTATTTTGTATCATTGCTAGTAAGTGATTCTTCTTCCACCAGCACAGTCGTGTAGTCTGAGAAATGATGTTTTACTAAGAAATAAGTAAGATAATTATTACCATTTACTGACTCATAACATGGGAGACTCAAGCTTATAGAAAAGTGGAGTAGGAAACTCATGCATACCAAGAAGATACTATGACCTGGAGACATATTTTCATCAGAAGGGTAAAGGGAGAAAGGCCTCACTGGCAAAACTGCTGGCCTGCTGTTTCTTTGCTCCACGCAGGAGGTATTGACATTACAGATATGCTGTGTTACACAAAACCAATTTTCACATTCTTGGAAAGATTAATTAATGATTGAAAGACGAACAGTTTGGAAAGACTGTAATGCATCTTCACATTGCATAATAGGCTCCAGCCTTTGGTTCCAAAAGTGTCATGTAAAGGTTTGCCAGGAAAACAATAAATAATTAAAGCGTTTGGCACGTTATCAGGTTACTTATGAAAAGCGTGAGGATGTTTTTTATTGCTTTTTAGTACAATATGCCAAACAAATAAACTGTAACATGCAACATTTTACAAAGCTCACTGGTATTTCTTTCTTTTTAAAATTTGTAAATATATAGGTTGAGATTTCATTTAATTGGCTTTTTTCTGTGAGCAGGAAAAACATCAAAAACATTTATATATGCACACTTACATTTTACAGATTCATTTCTTTGCCTTTCTTCTTTATATTACCCAAACTTAAAAGTTACAGTGTAACCTACATATGTGCTTCTTGTCACTTGTAAAACTTCAGCGCAGGGTCAACATTCTGCACATGGCTCATTTTACCGGCCAATGAGCTCGAAGGCTGGGCCAACACCTTCCACACCCCTAACTCATCCATCCATCCACACACGCCATTTTGAGTGCGTAAATATGTGCCAAATTCAGTCCGCAGACCTGCTGAAACTTCGCAAACTTGTGTAAAAATAGCGCAGGAGCAGCCTCGAACACCTCCAATATTCAAACTTCCCGCACTTATCTTTTAAAAATCTGTTACAAGCGCAAAAGGCTCTTCAAAGTCCGTTGCGTGACGTTCACGAGTTGCACTACTTTTACTGTCATGCGCTGGCTCAGTGTTTTGCCTCATCTATCATGGCGGAAAAGTCTTCCCGTCTTACACTTTACGTAAACCTGTGACGTTTCTATTACTTAAGCAACTTTTCACAGCTCATATCGCCATCGAAAAGTCATCTTATAATCTGATCACCCACCTGAGAGGGGGAAAAAAGGTAGGCTACTATAAAGTATTTTGTTTGGATAAGTTGATCTTGATGTATGTGGCATGCTTTAAGGAGAAATGTGTGAAGCATTTTACACAGGTTATAAGGACTTTTCTGATTAAACTTTTTTTTAACATATTTGTTTTACCCAAATAAAAACTACACACCAAAGTTTGCCCCTTATATAATAAGATGATATAACAATACCCAAACACAAAAGTAACTTTGCTACAACTTGCACTCAGGTATTATTGCGTAATAACGTCTCAAACACTGTGAGGTGTACACTCTAATATGCATTTACTTTTATTTTGTGCCCTTTAGTAAAATGGCTCTCAGAAGTGCCTTCACACGTCTGCTCTCCAACAGCCGTATGTCCGTGGCTGTCACTGCATCCAGAGCTCAGGGCACAGCGGTTGCAGCACAAAAAGGTACGACTGATATTTTAGATACACAGGAAGGTAGTGTAAAGTTTGGAATCACAGTCTATGGGTGTCTTGAGGTAGGAAATGCAATTTTTAGTTGTGATAAAAAAGAAAGCACACATAAGAGCTGGAAAAACATGAATGTGTTTTCTATATTTGTATCAGATGACCAACAACACTTTAAATTTACATCCTTTAGGTGCTGAAGAAGCCAAAAAGCCGGCAAAGCCAGGTAAAGGTTTGAAGTGAATTTTAATGAGCTGAATCCAATCTGCTCAGAGTTCTTCATATGTTCTATTATAGTGATGTGATCATAGTGAATGTGTGTGTGTTAATGTTCTGGCGCTCAGCCAAGGTGGCATTCAACTGGCGGGATGCTCTCGACCTGGAGGGTCAGCTGACGGAGGAAGAGATCATGATCCGGGACTCGTTTCGGGACTACTGCCAGGAAAAACTCATGCCGCGCGTCCTTATGGCCAACAGACATGAACGTGAGTTAAGCAGGATTAATATGTGTGGTTCAGGCTGTGCACACTGTGAATAATTCAGAAAAAAATCTGTTTCTGTCTTTAATCCGCCTTTACATTAAGGTGTGTAAAATGAATCTCATCTAAATATTTGTCATTTTCTTATTTTCTAACATGCACCATGCTACAGATTTTCACCGTGAGATTGTCTCAGAGATGGGAGAGTTGGGAGTCCTAGGCCCGACTATTAAAGGTAAAACAAACAAAAAAACTAATGCTCCCCCCTCCCTCCTTTTTTCCTGCTTTTTGTTATATTTCACTGATTACACTTAGTAGTTTTTTTAAGTTGTTTTTTCCCCCTTTACACTGCAGGGTATGGTTGTGCAGGTACGAGTTATGTGGCATATGGTTTGATTGCCAGAGAGGTTGAGAGGGTGGACAGTGGATATCGGTCTGTAATGAGCGTCCAGTCTTCACTGGTCATGCACCCGATTAATGCGTACGGCACAACAGCCCAGAAGGAGAAGTACCTTCCCCGGCTTGGTAAGTGCGACATTCTCTCCTCTTGTACTTGACATTTAAAATTTGCAAAGGACTAAAATCCATCTGATTTCTGGTGTGTGTTTATTTGTTCTGCAGCTCGGGGAGAAATTGTAGGTTGCTTTGGTTTGACAGAACCAAATCATGGCAGTGATCCCAGCAGTATGGAGACTAAGGCCAAGTACAACCCATCGAGTGGTACCTTCACCATCAGCGGAGCTAAGACCTGGTAGATAGACACATATAGAACAAGATGTATTGGTTTGAAACTTGCATGGAGTAAAAATAAGACAATGGAGCAGAGACCTGTATAAGTTTATATAACTTGGAACTGTGTGGATCCCCATACTGCCCATATGGAAAAGAAATAGTAAAAACTTATATGTGATTACTCATGAAAGTGGCCACTTTCTCATTACTTTCATACATTGTTTTAGTAAGTATCCAAAACATACAAGTTTCATTATATAATTTTTCAAGGGATCTTATATCTGTTTTCACTCTTATATGCTTTTCATACAAGTTTCACACAAGACAGATACAAACTTTATAAGTTTTATATATATCTTTTCCATATGGGTGAGGACACAATAGTTCTGCCATTTGATGACTAATCATATAGAAGTAAACATGTGTAATAATTTAGACATGCTGACAAAGCCTGCTGCTCTCTGTGAAACTAAATTACTTAAATATCTAAATAATCAAATACACTGATTTCCCCACATCTTTTCCTAGGATCACAAACTCTCCTGTGGCAGACATTGCAGTAGTCTGGGCGAAGTGTGAAGATGGGAGAGTGCGGGGTTTCATCTTGGAGCGTGGCATGAAGGGCTTTTCTACCCCCAAGATTGAGGGAAAATTTTCTCTTAGGGCGTCTGCCACTGGCATGATCCTGATGGATGAAGTAGAAGTTCCTGAGGAGAACCTGCTGCCCAATGTCTCTGGCCTCAGTGTAAGTTAATGTTTTACCTAATGAAGTTTGGTAAACTTAATTTTTACAGCTTGTATGAATATTAGTAGCTTAAATTTTTTGTTGTTGTTTTTTGTCTTTGTATACAGGGTCCTTTTGGTTGTCTGAACAATGCCCGGTATGGTATTGCCTGGGGAGCTCTGGGAGCAGCTGAATTCTGCTTTCACGCTGCTCGACAGTACACTCTGGACAGGTACACAACTGTGTTTGCAAACATTGCCCAAAAACGTGGCAAAACATAAAAATCCAGAGAAAAGAGATCCATGTTACCATTATCCCCGCACATGGCTCATACCTTTTTATCCTCCAAACAGAATCCAATTTGGTGTGCCACTGGCCAGAAACCAGCTGATGCAGAAGAAAATGGCTGACATGCTAACAGAGATCACCATTGGGCTGCAGTCATGCCTGTACCTGGGAAGGCTTGTTGATGAGAAGAAGTGAGGGCTGTCTTTCACGTGTCACTGCCTGCTTTATTGTTTGCTGTTCTACTGCCCCTCCCCTGCAAAAAAAACAAACAAAAAAACAACCAAAGAAGGGTTTCTTTTGTTTTTTCTTCCTCATCTTAATAGGGCGGCACCGGAGATGATCTCCATGCTGAAGAGAAATAGCTGTGGCAAGGCACTGGATATTGCTAGACAGGCCAGAGACATGCTAGGAGGAAACGGCATCTCTGATGAGTACCACATCATCCGTCATGTCATGAACTTGGAGGCTGTCAATACATATGAGGGTAGGGAAAATTAAAAGTAATGAAAAGGCTTTTAAATTCAATTCAATTCAATTCAATTCAATTTTATTTATATAGCGCCAAATCACAACATAAGTCGCCTCAAGGCGCTTCATAGATACAGAGAAAA